ACACTTGCTGTGAAGCTAAGCCAATGTTCATCAGAGCCGCGTGGTGCCTGCATAAATTCACTTCGTCATTGCCTTTGGCTGTGCGGAGCCTTCTCAGCTGATCCTGATCTTTTACAGTTTGGAACATCTTAGAGTATTTTTATCAAAGATAAAATACCACTTGACAAATGCTTTTCTTATTTCTGTCATTAGCTTGGAAAGGATCAAGAGCAGAAAAGAGAACTATAAATGTCAGTTAAAATTGTAGTAGATTTAATTTTCATCTCTGGAAACTCTGACTTTGCCCTTTAGCCAGAACTTACAACCATACTTTTGTTATTAAAGCTAACTTACTCTGGCCACCTCTGGCTGAACAGCACAGTGATCTGTGCTTGGAAATTAAAGCTGGAGTAAAAAGCAATAGCAAACCGAAGGTGCCAAAAGATATCCTGAGTTATGTCCATCATCCTTATTCAGCCCAAAGCCAGTGTAAGTCCTTCAGCTGCTTTCTTGCTGCTCTTTTGGTACTATCCAGAGCTTACTGTCACCAAATCAGTTTTAGGTGGGATTTTCACTGTCAGAATGTAGACTGCAGGGACTCAGAGAGTTTTATACTGTACCACAGCTTGATGACTTTGATTTTTCGTCACAGTCAAAAGGAAAAATCACTCTGAAAAATTATCTGTGCCTTTCTATTGTGTTAATGGTTTTCAGCTGACATTTTAAAGGAATATTGGATGGCCGGTTTGATATAAAAATTGCAAATATATTTTCAGTACCTGGAAAGGGGTCTGTCTGCATGTTTTACCCTTTTTTGGAGGAATTAAGGCATCTAATCTCAAATGCCTTTTAATAATTATTTTCATAGTGAAAGTTCTCCTGTGGCATGGTCGTAACAGGAAAAGAATGATGTGGCTGAAGATACTGGCTCATTCTTATTCAGAATTTTATATAATTAGCCTGTTTACCATCTTGTTTCTGCTATTTCGTTGTTGCTTACAGAAAGAGAAAAAAAAAAGAAAAAGGAAAAGATAAAGAAAAAAAAAAGGAAGGGAGGAAGGAAGGAAGGAAGGAAGGAAGGAAGGAAGGAAGGAAGGAAGGAAGGAAGGAAGGAAGGAAGGAAGGAATGAAGGAATGAATGAAGGTCAAAAAAAAAGAGAAAAAAGAAAAAGAAAAAGAAAAAAAAAGGAAGGAAGGGAGGAAGGAAGGAAGGAAGGAAGGAAGGAAGGAAGGAAGGAAGGAAGGAAGGAAAAGCTTTTCTTTCTCTCAATTTACAGTTTTACAGTCTCAAGTGTCATTATCACTGAAACAAATAAAGAGGTTTTTGACTCCCACTAGAAGCATGTATGTGTGGGTATTTGTTAATGAACAAGCGTCAAATGATTCAGATGATTTTTTTAGGTAAATACTGAGTGAAGCCAAGGTTTGATGTCTACAATTTTGGATAAACTTCTGAAGTAATTATCAAGTTTTCTGTGACTGCATTTTCTTCCAAGATTTGAGATGTTCTTGTCAGACAGAGCCCAGCATTTGCTATGTCATGGCAGTACGCAGATCACCATTTCCCATTCAAACCAGAGAATAAACACACTTGCGATAAGAAAAGAAGATGAGGGAGAACTGGAAAGCCTGAGCAAAAGTTTTGGTGCTAATTAGCAATAATGCTCCATTTCTTCTTTTTCTCTTAACGCTCATTTTGATCACTATAGATGCTTAGAAAGGCTACAGCAACATGTACAGATTTTAAAATAGTGAAATATTTTTCTAACTTTCAGGATCATTCAAATTTAGCTTATGCTACCAGTAATTCCCAGCCTCACATGAGGAGTGCTTTGACCTTCTGAAAGTTGTGGCCTACGTCTACAGGCGGGTTATGCTGATGGTCTTCACCTGGTGCAGATGAAGCCCCGGGTGATTGACAAGCTCCCTGTCCAAGATGTTATAGGGCAAACCTGTGTCTTTCTGATGTGGTTTCTGGGGACAGAGCAACCTGCTATGCAAAAATCTGTCTGTCCCAGTGCAACCTGTATCGAAACAACTCTAGTATTTTGAGTCTTTAAGATCATAATGGCTAGCTGTGGACACTGTAATCTTCCCAAAGGTTATACTATTACTGTCCTGCTCTAATAGTCCATCATGCTTACAAATTCTAGTAGTCTGCCACTTCTGGCAAGAACCTCTTATGGCATTTATAATACAGTATTTACCAGTATGTAGAGGAAGAATAAATGTGTGGATGAGCAGCTCTGTATATTCTCTAGTGTCTTGTGTGTGTGTGTAAAAGTAAAACTAAGAATACATTTAAAATCTGTCCAAGCTACACTCATTTTTCCTGGATTTTTTTTTAAGATTCAAGTGAAGTGACGATCTGGCCAGCACATACTGCAATGTCAAGTTGGCTATTTTAATATCTGCAAGATAAATAAGATGTGTTAGTTTTCATCTCTTTGCAGAGCCCCTTGTTATATATATCTATTTTCAACTGCCTTTTGTAAATGCAATACATCTTCTAGATAATTTCTCATGACATGCAAAATTTTTGTGCATGTAACCCTAAGTCCTTTACATAATTCTTTTTGTTATTTATTACCACAGGAGAAGAAAACTTGCTGGCAATTTTGAAAAGGAGATGGTGGAAGTACATGATCCTGGGGATAATAGATATAGAAGCCAATTACCTGGTAGTCAAAGCTTATCAATACACCACTCTTACTAGTGTACAGGTAAGGATACCAGTGATTTTCACTTTTGGGGTAAGGTAAGAGGCTCTGTGTGTACAGTGGGACAGCTTCCTTTCATTTTAGTAGAGCAGAACCTGGCATCCAGTTCCTTCCTGTACCTGCTTTGTATTTTTCAATGCTGTCTCATAAGACCATGTTTTTCACACAGGACTAGTTTTACTGTAGCACTGTTCAAACTGCACAAAAACATTCTCACTTCTATTTTCTTTGCCTCTACTAAACCATACATAATCACATTTTTGACCTAATCTACTTAATATGGTTCCTTAGTGAAATGTTTTCAGGTAGGCTGAAATGTTTTTCAGACTTTATATTGTACTTGGAAAAATACAAGCACTTCTTTTAGCATTCCATATTTAGATCTGAGTGCAAAACTTGTCAGTTAAATAAAATGAATATAATTATTTATGATGAAGAAGTCTTACTTAAGTACAAGCAGTATTATGTTACAGCTTAACTGTGTCTATCACAAGGTGTGCTCTCCCCTTAAAAATCATACATACAGTGAATCAAAACAAGGGTAGCCATTTCTCTAAAGACCTAACCTGTATATTTTATATGCAGACATCAAAGAATGAGGTTTCTCTCCATTTCAGTAGAGAAATGAATAATGAAAACATTTTAAGAGCATGGAAATTAAATATTGTGGGAAATCATTCATACCTCATTGCTACTTCTTCTGAAACAAACACAGTCCCTTTGCACATTATCTCTAAATAACCAGGCAACAGTTGATAGTCTTTATTGTATTTTACATCTTATTTGCCTGGAATTTGCTTTAGAACTAGTAAAATAAATGCAGTAGTTAATGTTCTGCAAAACCAAAGCTAATTAGGAATATATCTTTTCCACTGTTGAACAAGTGATATTGGAAAACACTGAGCATATTATCTGTTGCTGAATAAGAAGCAAGGAGAGTGGAGAGCTGTGAATTGGAGAAGCCTAAATCTAAGAATTATATTAAATATTCACAATCAATATGAGCACCTGCAAGTGTCGTTCCCATCAGAATCATAGTTGAAGAATTCTTTGAAATGTGCCTAGACAGTTTTAAATTACTTTTAACGCTTTCCAAAATGAGATTACTTGGTCTAAAGTAAAGCACAAATCCACCTAAACCTGATACTGTTTAATTTGGTAGTTACTAAAAGGCTCCAAGTTAAAAAGAAAAGCACAATGGCTGCTTTTGTGAGTGTACTCAGTCAGAACAGTGGTCTGTGAGGAACGATACAGCTCATTAAATTCCCATCTCCCAAAGTCCCCAACAGGCATGAAGCAGAGGTTAGTCTGGCCGGATCCACATAACATCTATTCCTGAGGATGATGCAAAACCTCCTGCTTCTCCACCACGGTATTTATTTGTGAGTGATCAAAAACTACAGCACATGCAGGAAGCAACAGGAGTGATCAAGGGCATCGCCCATTGCCCAGCACAGGACTTGCTCACTGACATGGGCCAGTCTCCTTTTAAACCGAAGGGAAAGGAAGGGTGGATTAGGAGAACTGTCATAGGACACAGACGGTTTCATGTCCTTTTTAGACTACTTCCACATAAAGATTACAAGAGTTCAGTTCTCCTTCCCCTGGAGCTTGAAAGAGAGAAGTACAACCTCAAATGCCATCAGGCCTTTTGCCAGGAGAGAGAAATACAGTGTCTCCTTCTCCCATAGTTGTCCTGGATTGCTTGGATTCACAGGGAGTGATTCAGGAATATCTATTGCACTTTAAATTCACTTCGTGACATCATTTGAATGAGCTTCAAAGTGTGGACAAGCCCCAAGATATGGGATGATTCAGAATAGGATGATTATGAGATAATGCTTTAAGGCATTGCATCAAATGACACATTTTGTGAATTGCAGCCAAATGACACATCATTTCACAAAGAGGAAGCATAAAAGCCCGTAATTTATGGGATTATTCAGTGTCAATCAACTTTGGTCAAAGTTCATAAAGGCATGAAATGAACTGAAGAAGTGAAAAATAAAAGACACACAAAAAAAAAATCAAGATGTTCCCTACATCTGGGTTCCTGAGCAGGAAGCAGGACCATTCTTTCCAGATGATCATGCTAAAGACCTCATCCTGCAGGAATACAACATATGGGGCCATAAATACTCCCAAGCATTCAGGCACTTTCAGAACTGAGACAGAAAAGGCATTGACACCTACCACACAGCAGCACAACTGCAACAGAAAATGTGGGAGTGTATATATATGTCCTGGCTGAGAAACTAGCCCCTCACAGTAAGTTCCAGGGGATTTTATTCTAGGCAGAATTTGCACCAAGGCTTTTTGATAGGGAAAAAATAGAAGCTGTTTGTTTTTTTTATTGTAGGCTTGTTAGCAGACTAATAATGACACTTCAGTGAATCTTGCAATATTTTTATAGTGGTGAGGCATAGACCATTTCAGTAGGAAATCAATTTTACAGCACATACCTTTTTCCACATGGTATCTCTGCTCCATCATGCAAAGCTAACATGCAAATGTGCTGGGCTTGTGGTAGTGTTAGGCAAAAAACATCAGGCTGCTCCCGGCAAAATGCCAAAGTTCGTATGTAAAAACAACTTTATTGAAGTTGATTTGCAAATCCGCTTTCACCTCATAAAATCATAGAATCATAGAATGCTTAAGGTTGGAAGGGACCTCTAGAGGTCGTCTAGTCCAACATAACTCCAAATACTCAATAACTTTGTTAGCAATTTGTGTTAAACTCTTAGCACTGTCAAAATTTCTAGTTTAAACCCTATCTTTTTTATACATTTTTAATTTAACATTATCTCACCGTGTTTCAAGGAAATGACTGAAGATGTCACCCTACTTCTCCACACTGTATAAGAACCAAGTTTTATCTAAAATTTCATTTAAAATTTCCTTGAAAAGATTTTGGTTTGGGAAAGTAGAATTGTCTAATAAATTTTCCTACCTTTCACATCATCAGAATCACAGTCTTTACCTTTGGATATATTTCTGATTATTTCAAATGCTCAGTTATTCTATAGTCACTGTCTGGCAATGTAGCACTTAGCTGCAGCATGAAATGAAAACGAAGTACTTGTAACATAGAAACACAGAAGTTTCTCTTTTTTAAAAAATAACCTGGAAGTAAGAAAACTTACCTTGCAACTGGGTGACATAAAACAATAAGACTGAAAACGAGTACACTGTTTATGTTTCAGCCTTTAAAGTGTAAGTTAATTGCTAAGGAAAAAAAAAGATTCCATGTAGGTACCTGAAGGACAGTTCAGGGGCAAGTACATTTAACTGACCAATCATATTAAAAAAGTACCTAATTGCCTTTATTTCTAAGATGCTGTAGATGCTTATCATTCCCTAATGTGTGCTTAGGTATGAGTACTGCAGCCTGGTGCTCAGAGCATGGTCCTGAGATGTGCAAATTGGAGTTTGAATCCTTTCGAGCTGCTCCTTCTTGGAAGCTTTAGGTTTTGCTGTGTTGGCATGTACCCAGAGTGCTTCAGTATTGATGGAGCTGGATACCTAACTACCTGTCACAATTTTTAAATTCAAATGAGAGGTATTCCTGCACTGAAGTACCCTGAGGAACTCAATTTGTTAGATATCATCTTAGCATGCCTCAAGTACTTACAGAAAGCCTGGAGTGTTTTCCAAATTGCGAGGGCAGAGGCAGCTTTTACATAATGTCATAGCTGTTAAAACAGTTGCCCACAAAAAGGCGGCTTGAGTTAATTCTCTCTCAACCAGAGGGGATTGAAACTGAAGCTTCCCACACCTAAGTAAGCACTCCGAATATCAAGCTAGTGAGTAAAGACTGTTCTCTAGGGGGAACATTTTAAAAATAAGCATGCACCAGGTGAAAGGCAAAGTAGTTTGTCAGGGGATTAATTCACACTTCCCAAACCACATTTTTCAAGAAGTGCCAGATCTGGGTACAGGTCAGTCACATCTGATGCTCCCAGAGGGCCCAAAAGCTGCAAAATGATTTCTCCTTTCTCTGTGATACATTAATGCAGTTGCACTAGATTTTGCAGCCTTCCTAAATGTCAACTGTAGTAGGTGCAGACAGTGCATTATACACTTATATGTGTTAGAACGAGGTCCTGTGGCCTTACTTTAAAATTATACAGTTAAATTTCAGGCCTGCATGTGGTAATGCTTTCCATATTTATCCTAGCTGTTTTTAGCACCTCCCTGGTGTACGCCTGTGGAAGGTTTAATAATTACAGAAGGCGGGTGTTTTAACTACTGTTAGAGACACCTTTTTTCCACAGGAGATAAAATGAGCTCCCTCAGAGGTAATAAAAGATTCTGAAGTTCTTGTGGTTATTTAAATCAGGATATATCATTTGTTTGAAGTTGTATATTTACACTTTGGCTTCCTTGTGTTGTGTTTACAGCATACAGCCTACTGACTCCATAATATCTTCTGAAAAGCATGTTGTGGAACTAACATTTTTAACCTTTGCTTTTGGGTAGATGCTTTCTCATCATATCAAGCTGTGCTACAAGACAGACTGTTCACTGGCCTCTCCCTCTCTGTCCCCACAATAATTAACACTCTTTTCTGCAAAGTCTTGCTCCATCCATGTGCACATTTCATTGTTGTGTGGCACTGCCCAGTGTTACTTGTTATCCTTTTTCTATGTTATGGCACCATTTCTAAATTCCAGACTGCTTCTGCAATGCCCTGCGTGATGGTGCGGTGAGAACTGCCACAAAATAAGGCATTGTCAAGGAGAGAGATATGTTTTCAAACGGTGATTTATGTAGTAATTTATTCCTTGGGCAATCAAGCCTTTGATTGGCATGATGAAAACAAAGGTAGTAAAGCCTGGGATTTATAGACATCAGGAGACAGACAATAAAGCCGTGACGCTGATGTTCTCAGCTAGCCTTAGATTGCCGTGAGCCTCAGCAGTACATCACAGTTCCAATTACCTGTGGCAGTTTTCATACCTCAACAACTGCCGCCAGGAAAGGAGAGGAGTCATCAGTAAGTG